ATTTTGCATAAAAGCAACTGGAAAAACCGGTTGAACATGACAAGGCTAAATTAGGTCATTGATATGTTTTAAAAGTACTATTAGTTCATTAGTGACGCTGAAGAAGAGTGGTGGATGTCGCTCAAAACGTCCAGATATTATCCCAATAATTTATCCAGTAGTAGAGTTTGAATTTCCTATGAGTAAATATAGTTTATCTGGATGTCTAACCTTCATCAATGAAACAACAACGAGCTTCCACACAATAAGAAGGGTTTTCAATTCATATCTAATATAAACCCATCCATTCATATCGTCATAATTATCATTAGCTTTTATTCAGTTCGGATATTAATACTTATCAATGATTCATCAGCAGGAACCCTCGTATTCTACTTGACCATGTAATGGTTGAACAAAGTTGAGAGAAGCAGGCGTCAACCGGTTCTTGAGTTATCCTCCTTAGAAAATTTTTCAACAAATGCTCCTGCAGTACCAGAACAAGCCGCTAGGGGACCCAAACTCATGTCACTTCTTCCCTATCTTAAGAGCTATCTGCCATCCAACATTTGTGACCCTAGCATGTCCAGATCATGAGATATCAAAACCAGAAGTTCTGTTGCAGTACCTAGGAAAGCCGTCAGGGGGCCCAAAATCTAATCATTTCTAGGTCTCATGAAGACCTACCCACCTACCAAGTTTCATTCCAATCAATCTACTGCTTTTTTAGTTATCTTGCTAAACCACACACACACACACACACACACAGACAAACGCTACTGAAAACATAACCTCCTTGGCGAAGGTAATAAACAGCGAAATAACAGGCATGTGATGATTCATAACCTGATCGATGATGATGACGTGTGGATGTGTTGAACCCACCGACATCATCGCACGCTGCAGAATTTTTACTAAGACTGAACATTTTTTGCAAAAGTCCGCAGTCTTTAGATGGATTCCATGCGATAGTATTACTTCTAGAATGGAAAATAATTTGCGTGGAAATCTTTAATTCAAATTGATGAGGAATGAGCGACAGTTCCATACATTATCGCATAGTTTGTCGCTCGGGACATTATGGAGAACAAAAGCGGAGCGTACAGCGGTGATCAATGGAGCACATCTGTTGCCATGAAATGAGATATCTTTTAGTTTACGATCTCCTTCACGGGATCTAGCCGCAGGAGTTATGGTTGCTGAGATGCCGCAGCGCAGGGAAAATGGTCGGCGAGAGCCTGCAACATTGAGCTCCAAATTAGCCATCAATCCGCACGTGATCGCTGGTTGTGAAATGAGTGACGAGGTAAACTGCCGTATCATGCATAAAAGACGCGGGTTCTGCACCTGCTCCCGGCCGCTCCCCGGGCCGTTACGACATCGGGGGAACCGCGGCTGCAGCTGGAATACATATGGGCAGTCTGTGGGACGTGGCGTGGGGAGGGCGACACAGAGGAACCTGTATCCTGTATTATACAAACCCATTTCACATTATATTTTTAACATCACAAAGAAAGGAGAAGGAGCCGAACTTCTGTATTAGAGTAGTTTTAGAGCTGTTTGTACTACAAACATGTATATTACCCATTTCATCTGTTCGCCTGTACTTAGCCCGGTAGGGCATGAATGTACAATAAAGGTTATAATATAATATGTATCTACATGTGTTAATGGGCCTATTAAAAAATTCTCCTCCTAGCTCTGATTGGCGGATGTGTTTCCGCCAATGAGATATAGGAGGTTAAAATGTAACTCTTAGTAGCCACTCCATTTCAAGAAAATCTTTTTAAATAACTTTGTTAGCATTAACATTTTTAATGTCTTGGGGTGGTGGGACTACGCCGCACTGGTATGTCAACTCTGTGTATTTAAATGTTAATTGTATTTTGTTGTGTGGCGATCGATGTTAATATAAGTTATAAACTTGAGTGCAGCGCCACACTGTCCTTGTTATGTTTTGATAAATAAAATAATCTATATCTGTATCTGTATAGCCGGTATAAACGCCCTTCGGCGCAACACACCAGCTTCGCAGGCACGCGGCGCGGAGGCAGCTAGCTATATCACACCGAACGACTTGTAACACTCATGTCTTGTATATTTGCAGCCTCTACAATGAGACTACGATGAGAAGTCTCAATGAGAAGTTGCTGTAATTATCAAGGACTCATCTTATCTTCCAGATATTTTGAAGACACGTATACAAACCTTGCCAGAAATGAAACAAATGCAACTTCTTCAATGTAAGGCGACAATCTCATTTGCAATGATTGATGCATATTTCCCTATTAATATTGCATTACAAATGTATACATTATATGAAGTATGTATTGTGATATAGTCCATTTCATCAAACTGGGAATTGCTCGAGAAATAAGGGCACTGAAGACACATTCCCTGCGTGTTATGCTGAAAAAAATGGACTGAGAGTTATCTACATTATCTATCAGGGGAAAAAGACATTTCAAATCTTTACCTTCAATTAATCAAAACTTGTTCACTAGGACGTACATGTACGTTATGCTCTTTTGTACTAGATTATGTGTCTCCAGAGGATGTTGTCAACAAGATTAACTTAGCTTGGCCTAGCGCCATCCACATACCTTGCTACTATTGCTTAGGCCACACCAAGTAAATTTTATGGATGACGTCCTTTGGAGACCCTAAATCTAATGCGAGAGGGCGAAAAAAAAAACAAGATGCCTAGATTAGAAATATTGCACTGCTGACAGGACCGTCCTGTCAGCAGTGCCGTTTTTGGAACTATTGACAGGATTTTTTTCAGTGCCTTCTTTTCTTTCATTTTTGTTTTAATTTTTTTTAACCAGGCACAGGCTTTTGGCGTTACGGGTTTCACGTCAATCTGACAATTTGCGGCACTTTCTGGCAATTTGGTCATAGTTACAGGAAGCGAAATTTCTTGTTTTTTTTTCTAGGTACAGGCCAAAATCAATGCGCGCGCGGACGTCATCCATAAAATTTACTTGGTGTGGCCTTATACTGGCTGATATGTCAATCCCTTCCACCATGTGGTTAATATGCGCCTCCCAAGGCACCATTATAGTATTAACACCATCAGGATTATTCCATTTTGAATCTCATGGGGAGGGGCAATCATGAGCATATCTGACCCCCTCCCCGTCATTTTAATTAAGACCTTCTTATCTATTAACCATCTTCATGCTACCATAAACTCACGGCCACTTCAAACTATGGGTAGGTTCCATTAACTAAGCAGGAGGGGGGTTAAATGGTCAATGACCACTCACCATTCCCTGTTAAAAAAGATAATAATTGTAATTCCTGCTCTATTCCTCCCCCCAATTTTTAAATGGACTCATCTTTATATACTTGCACAGACTTCACCCATCATTTTCTTCACCACAAAGGTAAATGTAAAATCACAATCTTTTATCAGATATATGCTGTTACGTTAGACAAGGATCAAACAAGGAAGAAAGACAATGGAGCATCAGACAATAAATTAATATATATATGATAAAATCATCATGTGTTTAAGTTCATCTGTGTTGGTAGTAATCATAGTAAAATATTGAACTTTATTCCAACACAAAGATTAAACAGAGATCAAATTTTCAATGACCACTGTCGCAGCAGGATAAATTAATGACCAATCACTTCAATCTACATCCAAGCTGACTGTATGGTTTATTCTAAAACAGGCTGAGTCATTAAGCTTAAAGTTCATTTGATTTCTGAAATACCTAGAGTCCTTTCAAATCCAAAGTGACAAGTGTTAGTATTGTATAGTCTACAGAAGAAACAAATGGCAGCTCACACAATCAAAGATGCCAGTCTTGTTGACATACAACCTTTTGGAAGCTTTATTGCATTTTATGTTCTCATGCACATTGTATGTACGTATGTATGTATGTATGATTATACATAATCTGAGGGAATTCAGTATTGTCAAATCTATCTCTAGTTATACAAAGGGGCAGGAAAGTAGACTAGCTCTAGAACTTTTGTAAACATGATTCCAGGTGTGCTGATTGAAACAGACAGTGCGGATTCACAACTCTTGTTGTGCCAAGGCTCCGTGAAATGAAGGCATACATTTTACCTTCCTACAGAGCAGCCTGTTAGAATACAGAGATAGAATGGGTACTGCTTCTTTGTCACATATTTATCACTAGATGTTTAAAGATTCAAATGGGGCAAAGTGGTTTGAAAAATGAATAATTTTGTATATTTGTAAAATCAATTTTTATGTCTCACTACGTATTGGCATAGCTGTACGTTACACATAATTTGTAATTAAGTTTCTCTCTTTGTTGTTAGTAAATTCTTAGGACATAAAACTGAATATACTGATGCCATACTGTAGGCAACCTCTAAAATGTCTGCATGTACATGTTATCAATTGTGTTCAAGAACTGAAATGTATTATGACATCAGACAAAGTATTCCACCGCATTTGCATTTAAATTTGGTCTGCAACATATGTCACATCGAGTTTAACATGGAAAGTACAGTTTGTTAGAGAAATTTGCACATTTGCGGTGCTTTTTGGTGGGGATGGAAGACCTTGTGTTGTTACTACATTTTGTCTATCTGGTACATACCAATTGCAGGACGGGGATTTTTGATACCACTTGCAAGACAAGCTCCAGGATAACAATACCATTCAATAATGATGAAACTTGGCAACAGGAGATACAGCTTGTAACCCTGGTTTCTTAAACTTTAAAGATGAGCTAGTACTCTTCAAAAAGTCTTTCCAGGGTTGAACTGTTCAATCTTTTGACAAAAATGGGGTTGCTATTAAGATTGTACAAAAAAATCTGTTCAGGTCTATCCACAGACCTGTGGGTTCACATAAAGCTGGGTCGTCAAGGGCACAAGATGTACAGACCCATGCACGTGGGTGTATTCTTAACAAAACTCTGGGTCTTTGGGGGTGAAAACTTCACATACCCATAGGTTTACACGGGTGTACTGCTCACAAGACCCATGGGTCAACCAACAGGGCTCACAATGATTTAAGCTTACAACCGTGGGTTGACATGGGTGTATTGTTGACATGGGTGTATTGTTGACATGGGTGTACAATCCACAAGGGTGCTTTGATCACAAGGGTGTACATCTCAAAGACCCACGAGCTTAGCATTCAAAAGGGTGGATTCTTTGCAAAACCCTAGTTTAACAAGGGAGTGCTTGGTTCACAAAGGTGCAATGATCACAGTATATTGTTAACTATATGTACTATCATACTATAACTACATTTTATGTACCTGCTTTTTTCTACCTAGTCTAAGACACAGAGGCACACAGAAGCACCCAGTTGTGACAAAGTCCATTCAAGTATTATGTACATTCCCCATAAAATAGTATATATACAATGATATAATACAGCATTAGTAAGACCAGATAATATATAAAATAAAGGCCCAATAAATATTCAAGATTAAAAATTTAATACTGTATGAAACTTTGTTAGCTAGCATTAAAACACATGAAATTATACAACAAATGCAACATTGCACTGAATATTCAACAAAAATTTAAAAAAAATACTAAGCCAACTCAAGTTGGACTCAATATTGTAATATGTTACCTCTAAAAATTAGATGCTCAAATAATCCACACTGACTTTCATACATGATTGTGTTGAATGGGTGTGCCTTCTGTGTATGATATTACTACACATCTAAACCTACTCCTAGTCTTCAAAAGCAGGTCATCCCCAAATGTAGCTTCAGTAAGGAAATTTGATAGGAAAAGTAGATGTTAAAATGACCCTCCCCTTTAAAAGAAAAAGCTTCCTAGAAGCCATTGTCACATTGTTCATTTCACATCAACAGTGTCTGCCTGGTACATACATTCTCAAAAGGATAAATCTGAAAGTGAAAAAAATTCCTGCATAGTTCATGATTATGATATGATTTTTTTTCAATACTTTTACACGGTCCTGTTCTACATAAACCTGTCACATAAACCATTTTGTAGGAGGTTGACAGATGTTTATAGCAAATAAACATCTATAATATAATTGTGGACATGCTAATTTTCCACAATGTGCCCCCTACATGTAGCTCTTCACCATACATTAAAAAAGAAATAAAATTTTCCGAGGGTTATCTTCCAATACATGTATATTATTTACAAACTATTTCAGTATGTTCCCTCAACATGATAATGCACAATTTCATTTCATACCTGGTTAATTCAGCAGCTAGAATATACAATAATTTCTACGTAACTTAGAAACAAGTAGAAAATTCTAATCATAATTATGATCCTTTTAATGCAAAGACAGATTCAGATGCTCTTACCTTTTTTTCTCTCTTAACTTGTATGTTATCCATGATTACACAATCTTATTTCTATCCTATCCTCTAATTGAACCTGTAGCAACTTCAGCTGTATAATACATGCTTCGGCAACAACAAAATGGGAATACTTAATACATTGTAAGGTCTCTTTATCTAAATTTTAACCTGTTCCTTTGCTATTTCCATGTCGCATCCAGATTCACTTTTCCCATAGTTCCTTGAGTCATTGTCCCATCATGCACTGTTTGCCCGGGCCTTTCCGTTGACCTCGTCGACTTTGACCTCGAGTTCGTCCTCGTCGGCCTCGTCCATGGTGTTGTACAGCGGGAACTCGCAGCAGACAAAACACTTGACGGCGTCGGGGAGTCGTCCGTAGAAGTACGGAGGCAGAGGAACCAGAGGGCTGGTGCTGCGCTTGTATTCCCTGTAGGCCTCCACCCTTACAGGAAGAAACCAAAACAGTATTAAGAAGGATACTAAAATCACTTGTTTGTAGAATGTTCTAATGTCACTGTTTTTTGGAATGACTTTTGCTCCTGGTGGCTTGACACCTTCTCAGAACATATTGTCCTAAAAATGGATATAATGTATGGTAAAGTCGCTGTAAAACAGCATTACATGATTTAATGTTTAAATCTTAATCCATAAGTCAGTTAAAGCATTTCCACGTGACACTATTCTTGGGTCTGCTGACATGTTGATGCCTCTATAACAAATGTGTGAATATACACTCTGAGTCTCTGAACAAATTGAACTACAGTCAAACCTGTCCAAGCCGGCCACCCAGGGGACCAAAGAAAAGTGGCCACCTTGGCCCATGGACAGGTGGTCTCCTTGAAGAGAGTCGCCTCACAACATGACTGAGACATAAATGGTTTCCAAGTCGAGGTATGCTGTAAATACATGTGGGGAGGGTGGCAAAAGAAACAATTTACCTCCAACAAACATCATCCAGCAGTCAAGGAAAAATGGCTGCTGGTTTCTCCATGATTTCTCAACATGATCGAAAATGATGTGGTCACCATGGGCAGGTATCAGGCCTTGAGCAGACCAAAGTCAGGGCAGTCACGGTCGCGTTGGCCAGGTGGTCACCTTGGACAGGTTGCTTAATGCTTATGTCAATGGGGCAAATTTTTGGGATCGAGAAAAAGTTATGGACAGGTGGCCTGCTTGAAGAGGTGGTCTCTTTGGCAGGTTTGACTATGGATACTTGAAACTTCTGGATACACAGCTCTGGTCACATTTAATGGACCCTTACATATAAAGTACAAAGTAGCTACTATTATAAACTGCCATATTCATGTTCATTGATGGTGCAAAGGCGCCTGGAAGTCTGCACCACCTTGTCTCAGTGTAGTCACATTTAATGGACCCTAACACAGATACATGTAGTCCTCACTACATGTAGCTGTCTTAGTCTACATAGTCATTGGTGGGTCGTAGGCGCCTGGATGTCTATACCCCCTTCTCTTAGCTGAGTCATACATGTATTTAATGGGCCATGACACAGATACATGTAGCATAAAGTCACTACTACATGTACATGTAACTATCATACTTCACATATTTGTTGATCAACATGGGCTGATCACAATGTTATTATGAAAAAGAGAAAATCAAATAGAAAGTTCATCACATTATTCATGTAATCAGTTGAAAGTTGATCACATTTTCTAAATCAAAATTTTTTTTCCATTTATAAAGCACCCAATGTTGACTAATTTATTTGAAGTGATGTTCTGCACATGAAGTCTCTGTATCTGTATAGCTGGTATAACCGCCCTTCAGCGTAACACACCTGTCCAGCTTTGCAGGCACGCGGAGCGGCGGCAGCTGGATATATTACACCAAACGACTTGCTACACCTAACCCTTGTACATCTAACTCTAGACATTGTTTAAAGCTATCTAATTATAATGATAATGCCCCTACTGTAGTTGGTGACAGCGAGTTCCACTCTGTAGTAGTTCTAGGAAATAATGAGTTTTTGAACACCTCAATCCTTGGTTGATAACTCTGGTACTTGAACTTCAAGGCATGTTCATGACTTGTTCTTTTCTGAGCTGGTATTACATGTACTAGGTACTTAGTAGTCAGTACGTCCACCAGTTTATCAGTCACTTTGTACATCATAAAAATTGTCAGGACATTTTTCATCTGTCTTCCAGTGATACCCACTGTAGGTTTCTTTTCATTTCCGTGACATTTTGCACCCCCTTCATAGTTGTTCCTGCAGAATCTTGCAGCTTGTTTCTGTACCCTTTACAGTTTATCTTTGTCTTTCTTTGTATACGGATCCCTCTCTGATCATAACGAGCTCGATATCTAAGCTGCAGTGGCTGACTGAGATGGAAAGAGGCCACGTGGGGTCAAGGGCAAGTCCAAAGCCCTCGTCTTTCCTCCATGAAGAGGACCAGGTAAAATGCCAATTACCCTAAGAGCTGCGGCCTGACCAATTTCCAGAGGTTCCACCCTTGCCCTCCAGGCCATCTGGTTTGCATGCCCATCACTGTAGATCAATTCAACAGCACAATTGAAATAGGACGCCATTTGATACTGTTAGAAAATATAATATCATATTAGGAAAATGAAGGCAGTACCATCAAAAGATTTTTTCCATTCATTTCAATTCATCACTACAAATTTTATCATAGAACTGTCAAAATACAAGGAGGTACATGTGACAAATATAGACAGAAATAAACAAAATAGTAAAATGGAAAGATCATTTCTTAGTCAATAACAGTACCCAACATTTTGACGGAAAAAAACCTAGCCCGGTCATAATTCTTGCATGGACAATCACAATTACATGTATAAACTGCTAGAAAATGCAAACATAATTATAGGAAAGCTGCAATGGCTTGATCAGCTAAAATGTATTTCTTTTGTGAATTCTCATAGAAGCACTGTTTTAAGCCAAACCAGTTAACAATGTTTGCAATGCTTTGTCGTTCTGAAACATGCCATATCCCTGACTAACATGTAAAACACATTAATACGTGCGCTGCAGGCGGGCGGCAAGAAAATTACTGATTTCATGTCAAGACATTTTCCCTCATGCCTGCATCTGTCATGAGAATGTCACACCAGCTCCTTATATCAGAATGGCCTGCCAGGCTCCACCCACCCCGTAATGCTCAACCTCTTGCAAATGTCAGCCTATTACAACAAATGTCAAGCCATGGTTGGCATATAGAGGGAGAACATGTTGAATTGGCCCTGACAAGTGAGAGCCAGACACATGACAGAGGCCCGGGCTGCATTAATGCAAATGTCATGTCTCTGCAAGCGGAAAGGGTACAAAGCAGCGGTGCTAGGTTCTACAAGGAAGACTATCTACCAGGACAGTAATTGTGACCTACTGCAAGGCTGACCTGTAATAGAAATCAAAGGAAAATGTCCGGAGTGTTCACACAACACAAAAGCAGCAAGAAGATACATTTATTTTGTATAACGTTAACAACTTAGCAGATTCTATGTATCTGCTCATTATCCAAACCACAAGGAGTAGACACAATCAAAGTGGTTCAAGATATCATATCGTTGTGTTTATCACTAGTCACCTTTATGGTAAGAGGCCTAAAAAAAATGTACAATACTTACAATGTATATCATCATCACATGATTTTCCACTTCTGCATAACTTATACATGTACTTAGTCTAGTAGTATGTATAACAGGTTATGTTATGCATGGAATAACATATTCAGACTGTATTATACCGATTTGAATTATTTTACCCAACTTTCTGAAATATGCCATGATCTTTATTAAATGTATTTTTCTTGAACGTTTTTACCCAAATTTTTGAAACAGATTTGATCATTAGTAAAACGTCTGAATGTGACGTGTGTGTGACATCCACTGAATTAAACCACTGTGGCCTAGTTTGATGCCACAGCCATAGGCAACAATAAATCCTGACTAGTACACAGCTTACCTTAGCTGAGGTCTTTTGCATCAAATAATAAATTGCTTTAGATGTAGCTTCAAATTGCTTTAGACATTGCTCTAGACATTGCTTTCGAAGTCCTTCACACATTTTACTAAAAGGCTATATATATATACCAATGTTTCAAACCAAACTGAATGTGTATATTCATTAAATGAAGGCAAAATTTGTCATTCTATGCTTGTCATATTTTGCCTCAAGACATGAATCTTTATCGCATTTAAATACATTTTAAAGAATGAGATGATGAGGTGAAAAATCAATCAGCTCCTGGCCCTAGGTATCATACTTGATAAAATTGGTACATGGAGCAATTTTTTCAGGACTTACGTATACACAGTGTTACCTGAATCTGTATCGGTATAGCCGGTATAACCGCCCTTCGGCGTAACACACCAGCTTCTGTATCTGTATAGCCGGTATAACCGCCCTTCGGCGTAACACACCAGCTTCTGTATGTGTATAGCCGGTATAACCGCCCTTCAGCGTAACACACCAGCTTCGCAGGCACGCGGTGCAGCGGCAGCTAGCTATATCACACCGGACGACTTGTTACACTCAATCTTTGCACATTTCATTGCAGGAGTTGTTCAAAGCTTTCTAGTGATGATGCCCCAACTGTGCCTGGTGGCAACGAGTTCCAGTCTACGATAGTTCTGGGTAAATACGAGTGTTTGAATACCTCAATTCTTGGTTGATAACTCTGATATTTGAAGGCATGACTGTTTCTTGTTCTTTTCTGGGCTGGTATCAGATTACCAAACATACAAGTACATGATTGTGATCATTTTCTAGAAAAAGTTAGAATGAGAAAAAAATATTGCTTTATGACATATTTTTAACTTTCTCTCAATGTATCTTGCGATTTATCCAGCTATACAACCAAATCAATTCAGGCCAATCACTGGTGAACACGCATTCATTCCCCTTTGTATGATCAAAGACGCCCACAGTAAATGTGCTTAGTTGCTATTGAGCCAGCGGCAGCCATGTTGGAAAATTTATAGCCACTATCTCATCAGCATCCACCACACTCAAGTCTGTAATAACATATCTAAACACAACATTAAAGGCATGCAATGTGATTTCATGGCAGCAAAAATGGAAATATTCTGGATAAGGCAATATTCACACATACTGCTTCACATAATTTAGCACATTTGAGTCAGTATTTCATACCTTGGGCTTTTACAACTGCAGAAACAAGCCCCAATATGTGTCCTTTATTTTCTGGGCGGTACCCCTAAAAATCAGTCAAGGGCCCTTCCAATAACAATTTTCTGTCAGAATTTGGGGAATTTTTGCTCCAAGAGGGTCAATATACATTGGAATAGTGTTGTCAGTATGTACTTTTTGTAGATGAACAACTCAGTAATATATATTGATAAACAACTAGAATATTGACTTCGGGTGTCCAAGCCCTAAAAGCTGCACTGGATGCCTTTAACACATGGGAGGTGCTTGCAACAAACAGAACGCTTTAG